TCAAGTTGTAATTAAAGCGTAAGTTACAATGGAAACAAGCAATTAGGTTTTCTGTTTCCCATTTATTTCTGCATCATGACACAGCTATTCATGGCAGTTTGCAAACTCATATTTAAGGCTTCCTGCAGGAATGTACAGCTGCAGTTGAAAAGTGTTTGACGGTTATATAGTGGCTGGAGCCTAAAAACTGTTACTGATGAGCAGCACTCTACCCACCCAAATTCATGTGTAGTCGAATTCTGATCAAAGCCACCCATTTCATTGTGATGACTGATACACAAGGTAAATGTAGCCCTATGCCTTTCCCTCTTTACAGCAAGGATGGTCAAATTTGATGAGTATGAGAAGCAATTTTATCTCTCTAATATCTTGCAAAGACTGGAGCTAATCCAGGCAGGCCCATATCTCAGGACTTGTGACGGTTTTACCAGAGGCATCCAAATGATGCCTCAGGTAAAACTGAATTAATTTGGAACAAAGCAGGGTTTCCCTCCTTTGTTCCAAATTAATAAACACTTGGTAGGATCCAGTTCTTAGGTAAGGTCTGGATCTTACCAGTATAGGGCCTGGGGAACATGTCACGTGAATCCCAGGTCCAATCCACACAGCCATCTTGGTTTTTTGGACTCCAGGAGCCCCCCCAAAAACCAAGAAGGCACTCATCCCTCTCCCCAAACCTAAAAAGAAGCTCTTAAAAGTAACCCCCCCCCCCACCTTATCCAGCCACCATTATGGACCTCCTCGCATAGTTATCAGGATGGCATGCAGCCAACCTCTCCAAGAAAGCTCGAGTTTTGGGTGGGTTTAAGTGATGTTTGGAAGCATCCTAAACCACCATCATCAAAATATGACTTTTTTTCAGGTTTCTCCTAAAACAAACATATGCTTTTATTCACAGGGAATAACCATTCCTAGGAGATTATGGGAGAACCAAATCAACATTATTACCCCAAAAAATTGGGGTAGAGATCATAGGGCCCCTCAAAAATGGCCTTGCAGAACTCGTGATTCTTGCCTCTGATTTCTCAGTTTTCCATATCTGATTGCCTTTCACATGGTGAGGTTTCCAGAGGTATATTTCAGTAAAAATCTCGTATTTAGCTTGGGAGACAAATTTCAAAAGAGAAGCAGTGGATTAGAAATCAAGCAGTCCGAGAATCTAGAAGTACTATATCTATTACAAGTATGATTTACTTGTAATTAATGCCTTTTTTCAAGAACCAAGCCCCATGTTCATTCCTGTTTTAAAATAATTGGAAATACCTTCACTTTTTGTAATATAACTAGAACCACTTAAGTTACTTAATTCTTTCATAATTATAGTAATACTATACTATGGTTTTACTTGTCTTTAATTGCAAACTGTAACTCTTAGGGACATTGAACTTTATTCCCACCTCATTCCTTTTGAGGAAGAACTTCCTAAAGTATTTGCACTCTTTACTTTCAAATTGTTTTCAACTGAAATTACCTTTGCAGGAGGGTACAGTGAAAGCTGGCTTATTCATACTTGCAAGTAACTCATAGATACGCACTAAAAGTGAGTGGTGAATAAGGAATGTCTCCAGTATCCTAGCACTTTCTCACCCCAAACCAGAGTCTTATGGCAGCTTAAAGCCTAGCAAATCTATGATTTCATAGGGCTTTTTGCCCACATCAGTTCTGTTACCCTTCCAGGTGCTGTATGCCTCTTTGGCATCCAAGTTGGTTGCCAGTCTTGTCGTTGTGTCTGTGTCGCTGCTGTGTAATCTACCATTGTACAGAACCTGAGAAAGATTTATATCCTTAATACTGGCACAGGAAAAATGCACTTAGTCTTGTGCCAAGAACTCCACCTTTTCCCCATAACTGATATAATTTAATTATGTCTGCATATTACCACAACCACAATACAACAACCTTAATTTTTGCAACACTGAAGGAAATGTAAGAGAGTCTCCAACTGAATAAATAAAAGCTGGTAAAAGGAAAAACCACCTATACTATTTTAGTTTTTGTTCTGGATGACATGTTAAAACTATAAAAATAGGTTTTTCTCCAAAAAAAAAAAAAAAAAGAGTGGAGGCTATTTGCTTAATGGATACCAATCTCCTCCTGTTTATTTTATAGATGAAGCACAGTTCTATCTGGATTTTGTTGTTATGAGCCTTCATAACAACAAAATCCATGGTTGAATGGGAATATGAATCCCAGTTTCCTGGACTTCTAGTCAAACACGGCAGTGGACAGCATCTTGCTATTTTACTATCCTCAGCATGTGGCATTTGGTGGCCAGCAAGCTGCTTCCTGAAGCTCCTGAGCTCATCATTGCTTAACCATGGGCCCTGTGACTCTTACAGCACTATTATTACACTTTAACTGCCATGGCAACATCCTATTGAATCCTGGCATTTGCCGTTCAGGAAGGGAAATTTAGAATTCTTCACCAGAGAACCTTTAAAAATCACTAAACTACATTACCCAGAATTCCCCAGAAAGTTGTCATGACAGTTAATGTGCTATAACATTAGAGTGATAAGTGCTAAATTGTAGCAATATGAATACTCATCAAGTTTCTTGTTCTCAGTACAGCAATACATCCAATTAAAAACACAGTCAAAAGTCATGAGGTTTCCTCCCCTCAATTTGGGAATATTTATAGAGACATTTTATTTGTGCAAAAAAACCAAAACAAAACAAAACAAAAAAAACACCTTTGTAGGATGCTGCTATGAAAAAAAAGGTGAAACCTCATCTAAAATGTACACAAATTTCCATAATCTCTCACAGGCCAGAGGACATTTTGTTTTTTGTATGCAAGGTTTAAAGACTAACACTTCCCGATTTATATTGGTCTGCCCTCTATATTTTCAGGCTTAGATTTGGGAGGATTAATGTTTTCTCTTGGAATCTCTTGGTCCTCCAGTGTGACTCTCTCAGCTTTTGCTAGACTAGATGTTCTACTGCAAAGTTCTACTGGAGAACCTGGAGATTTTAGAGTGAATACTTCAATTCCAGGTTTCCATTCTTTGCCACCTTTTGCAATCAGCTAGCAGACAATATCATGTCCTCTCAGCATCATCAAGCTATAGTTGGCTGTTTGGGGATTCCTTTCCAAGGCTGTTTCTTAGGGGAGGCAATCGTATGCATTTCTTTCAGAAGTTGAGCCCTATTTCATTTACACTTACATGTGTGCATAAGACAGCTGTAGTTGCTTGAGGTATATTGCAGAGTATTCAAGGTATATTGCAGAGTATTCAACTTACCTGCAAGTTGGTATCCAGATAGTTGCAGACATATGGATCCTGCAGAGCAGGGTGGGACATGGCTGGCTGCAAAATGCAAAACATTCAGCTTTTCTTATATGTACCAGAATGTGTTAATCTTGTTCAGACTAGAAGCAGAGATGGGGTAAAGTTAAGCAGTTGAAATGTTTCCTTCTCCATGGCTGGATTTTTATTAGAGCAAGGAAACAATTATAGCTCCAGTTGTATTCCAGATGCACTCCATGTAAGGAAATGGTTTCTCCTCTGGAGGAAAGTCACTGGGGTGAGGGCAATGGTTTTTGAAACAGGATGGAGAAAGACCCATTGACAGAGAAACCCAGGTAATGTGTATTTATACACAAATATGTTTACTGTGCTGTTATGCACAGAGGGCATATACTCAATCATGGTATAAGATGGGCATTGCAACATAATGTACACTATTGGATTTGGACTAGGATGGGTTGAGCATGACTCTCACAAAGGTAATTTGGTTGGCAGATGCTGGTCAGATTCTCTCAGCCAGGGGATTAAAAACCCAGTTATTGCCAGATACCTTCAGTTTTTAATTTTGTTCCTCCTTAAACTCAAATTGTATTGAATTCTCAATTGTATATTCTCTTGTCTTCTGCATGCACATGGATACTTATATAGAATTAAGAAGAAATAATGAAATTGAAAGAAAGTTGAGATCAGTAGTTTTAAAAGAAAGAATTAATACATAAGGAATACTCCATGCAATGATTTGCTCTGAAAAGTAGTGGGATTTCCTTTGTTATAAGCCTTCAAGAGCAGACTGGATGACCACCTATCAGGCATGCAATGGACTTCCTGTATGAGTAGAGGGTTGGGGTTGATCAGTGATTCCCAAACCTCTGTCCTTCTGGTGTTTTGGAATTTGGTTTCCAGAAGCTCTAGCTAGCTTGGCCAACCATCAGGAATTCTGGAAGTTGAAGTCCAAAACATCTGGAGGGCCAAAATTTTGGAACCACTGAGAAATTGAGAAAACTTCAATTTTTTATATTACAATCATTAAAAATGATTGTTAGTATGTATGTGCATGTTAGAGCCTGTGTGTGCCACCTCATGTTACATAAAGGAAGAACGGAATAAAAATGTAGTGTAGCCCACTTTAATCCTTGCAGCATTCAAGTTCCTTCACCTTGATTGAATTTTGTCATTTTTACTAAGAACAGTGAAAGTGGCTTCCACACCTGCTGGGAAACACAATAAGCAGATCTGATATTGGATTTATTTATTTTTCTTCAAATTATATATATGGTCTGAGATAATGCAGTGAAATCATAGGTGTGGATAAATAATGTATTCTTTCACTTGAAGTATGCGTGCCAGTAGGTTACTTTTTGGAACTCTCTGAAAAGAAATATCTGCCATCGGGTTTAAGAAAAAGGGAGTGATGGGGATATGTATCTTAGCCAGGGGATTATTTTCCCTGACGGGCCAATAAAAAAAAATGTCAAAGGGACATGTCATGCCCTGCTGCACAGGTAAAGCTCATAGTGGAATCCAGAGGTTGATGGAAAGGTGATGTGGGTAATCTGGGGTTGTGAAGAGTTCACTGTCATTTTGTGGGTTTTTCAGCACTTTGGGGTGTGTTTCAGGGAAGGTCATTTTCTGGCACGGAGAAAGAGGGAGGATGCCAAGCACACCTAAGCTTAGGAATACAATAGAAAAAAGAGGAACTCTTGCTTTTCCACTCCCCTGTCACCTAGCCAACTTTCTAAATGAATAAAAAGGTGGATTCTTGCCTTGCTTTTAGAGGGGCTCAGTTTCACTCTTGCTTGGAACTATTCCTCGGACACTCCGTTGCCAATCACTGCCACCAAGACAGATCTCCCTGTAACGAATCATCACCATGTCTCGCCAGTCGTATGGCTTAAGCATCGGAGGAGGAAGCAAGGGATTCAGCTCCAATTCTGTCTCTCTTGGTGGTGGAAACAGAGTCAGCTTCAGCACTGCTTCTGTGGCTCATGGATCTCGTGCCCGTGTTGGAAGTGGCAGTGGAGGTTTTGGCAGCAGAAGCCTCTATAATCTTGGGTGCAACAAGAGAATCTCCAGTGGTGGCCTTGGTGGGGGCTTTGGTGGCTGGGGCCATGGAGGTGGCGGCTTTGGAGTTGGTGGCTGCTTTGGTAGAGGGATTGGTGGAGGACTTGGCTTTGGTGGAGGGCTTGGTGGTGATTTTAGTGGTGCAGGAGGCCCACACTTTCCAGTATGCCCACCTGGAGGGATCAAGGAAGTTACCATTAACCAAAACCTCCTGCATCCCCTCCATCTGGAAATAGACCCAGAGATCCAGAAAGTGAGGTCAGAAGAGAGAGAGCAGATGAAGCTCAACAACAACAAATTTGCCTCATTTATTGACAAGGTAAGATAATTATGACATTGTGAACTTCCAAGTTAGTTTGAGGATCATTTTTTTCTATCCCCTTTTTTGTGACAAGGATATTTCAGGAGTATTCGATCTGATATTTAGTTGCATAACAATAGGTTTCAAAACTAGACAGTTTAGGAGTAACTGATAAGCCATGATTTCCCATTTTAAATGCTATGGCTATTAAATCTAAGCCTGCCAAAATTATCTACATGCCCTTCAGTGGAGCAACTGTATCTGGCTCTGCAGGGGTCTCAAGTAGTTCCCAGGATATTTCATTAAATTAGGTGAATTAAAAGGGTGAATATACTCTGAAAAAAATCTATTCAGATGTCATCCCCAAAGTATTATGATGAAAAGTGCCAAACATTCTGAGGTTCTCTATGGATCTATTTGACTTATGATGTTCTGGGGGGATACTTGATTGTGATGCCACTTTACATTTAGTGACATGCTCTTAATTTGTATCCAGCAATACTGTGTTTTTCCATGTTGTTGCCAGTGTTAAACTGCAATCTGCGAGAGATATGTTAGGAAAATGTATATACATATTTCTTTTTCAAGATAGCCCTATGTCAATGGCCAGAAATCAGGCATGTTGGCCCTAAAACAGGCAAAGCAAATTTTGGTCCGCCAGGTGTTCTGGACTTCAACTCCCATAATTCCTTATAGCCAGCTGGGATTTTTGGGAGTTGAAGTTCACCTGGAGGGCTGAAGTTTTCCCATGTCTGCTCTAAAATGAAATTTAATTGAGGTATAGTTTTAAGAAGGCTGTGCATCTCATTTGGGGATAGATATTCCAGATGCACATTGGATAGCAGCATCAATATTAGTCCGCAGTATTATTTCTCCTCAAGAGCTGGTAATGAACAAAACGTTTCCCTTATCAATTATCTTCCATTTCATTTCTCTTTTACATCTCTCAGCTACCTATTAGGATTTAGTGTTTTGTGTGAAGAGTAAGGAGTAATAACTTTAATATGGAATTTGAAAGTTGTCCCTGCCTGTGAGCAATACTGAGAAATACTAGAGGGAATACTTGTGTCTTGAAAGAAGAAGAAGAAGATAGCCAAGTGATGTGTCAGAATATGCTCTCAGTGTGGACATGGGGCAAAGCAAAAGGCATGGTCAACCCTGGATTGATGGTCTTGTTAAAAAGTCCACAGAAAAGAGACTCTTATGGTTATGGTTTCATGTACCTTAAGGTTTAGTGATCTGAAGAGTGCCCCATTTCAAGGCCATCTTCCTCAAGAAGGAGTGGCTCATTTATCCATAGACAGGCAGAGGTAATCTACCCTAAATGAAGGATGTTGCATTATGTCTTCCATAATTTCTGATAAACGTGCTGCCTGGATCAAGATGTTACCACAGAATTTCCACCCTTGGTCTAAAGACAGAATGTAGAGGGCTGAGAATGAAAAATGTAACACATTGTTGAAGGCTTTCATGGCCAGAATCATTGGGTTGCTGTGAGATTTTTGGGTTGTATGGCCATGTTCCAATGCTACTGGACCATGGCCTTATAGCCCAAAAAACTCACTTTTTTGTGTGAAAAAGTTACACTAAAAATTTGAAATGCACCCCAAAACTCTCCCTAGAGGGAATAACAATTTTCCAGGAACAGATACACACATAAGGCTTGTATCTGATTAGTGAAGGCCATAGGACTACAGGTTAATGTTTATGTTTTCCACCTGTCCACTCTTCCTTTTCCTTTCCATCTAGGTCCGCTTCCTAGAACAGCAGAATAAAGTCTTAGAGACCAAATGGAAGCTCTTGCAAGAACAAGGCCCAAGTGCTGTTCAGAAGCATCTTGATCCAATGTACGAAGTTTACATCAGCAACCTGAGGAGACAGCTAGAGGGTCTTCAGAATGAAAAGAGAGGCCTGGAATCTGAGCTTAAAAACTTCCAAGACATGGTTGAGGATTATAAGACTAAGTAAGAGAATATTTTGGCCTAGCCCCACATTTATTGGTTTTTTTAAATCCTCCAATTTAGTTTTGCTTATTGTGCAGACAGTCCTTCCCAGCAAGAAATACCCTATGTCCTTGTGTATAAGTTAGCCTCACAAACACATTGAAGGCAGGTTTTGAGGCCAAAATCATTGATTGTGACCCATGGACAAATCATGAGTCATTCCATAGGTGGTAAGCCACCTGTGCCACATAAAAAGGCTATTTGTCGCTGGTTGCCACAGCCACCATTTTCTCTCCCAGCCATTAATATTGACCAGAGAGAAGAGAAGGGGCTGGTTCTTATTTTTAGATCCTCCTGGTATGGACTGATTTTTTTGAGGTCAATTTTTTGACTGAAATGTTTTGACTTATACATGACTATATACATTAAGTCAAGTGTAGATTGTCACACATGACAGCTTCTGAATATCATTGAGTGTGTTGATCTACTTCAAAATAATAGCCTTTATAGCATAATCTATCATGGTGTCTTATGACACAGAAGCTGTTTCCAGCAACTTTTAAATAAGGTAGAGATTTTCCATGCAAAGACTGGAATTAATGAAATGGGACCATTTCATTTTGTCCACACAACTCTTTTGAAGTAGGCCACAGCAAGACTGCAATGAATTGAGTTGATGAGGATTTGAACCTTTTCTTTTGTCCACAGAATGAGATAGGATAACCTGTTATATTTGAAATATATCAAGCAACGGTTTAGCTTATCTGATGCAACATGTCAATAGTTTCCAATTGTATTTATTATAATGTTGGAACAATCAACAATTATATTTTTGCACTTTTCCTACCTGTATAATTGATGAAGCTCAGACAAATGGACGCACCTCTCCTTTAATTTAAATGCTTTATGATACTATAATATGTACTACAATAGGCCCTCTACTTTTGTGGGTTTAGGGGTATAAGACACCCACAAAAGTAGAAAAAAATGATTTTTTAAAAAATACTATTTTTTATGTGATGGAACATCTCTCTGGAAATCTCTAGCATGATTCTGTGATAAATTTTTGCCAGATTAGTCCCACTCCATATTAATGTATTTGACTGCACACATGGAACCTCCATGATCAAAACCCTTGTCTTGGCATTCAGTGTATTCAGACAAAGACGCTAACAATATCTTTTGTAGATCTTCTTGGTCATGTCCTGATGGTCTTAAAGACAGCTAGGTTTGTGGTGTAGCTGGGGATTGGGACTGATGTGTGCACCCATATCCTCCTCCCCACTTTAGCTCTACATATGAACAGGTAAATATCTGTGTACGTGATATCTGATACGCTGACATGATATCTGATACCCTGCCAGCCCAAAGAGATCTCTTTGTTAGATATGGAATTTGCTGGCCATATGATGCATAAAAATGGGTATTGTTATTTAATAAACAAATACACATTGAAACTACGTTGTTAAACATGGATAGTATTAAACAATACCTTTGCCTGATGCCAAAGGATGTAGAATGCATTCTGGCAGAAAAGGGAGAATGGAGTACAAAGAATGAAGCATGAATCATAAACTAAAGGATGTCAATTACCTATAAATAATTAGGCATACCAAACAATTTCAGAAGGATTCTAAACATCAGGGAATGACGAGAGGCAGGGCCACATTACGTCACATACCCTACTCCTGATCCAAAATTTGAAAATAATTTAGGACCATGAGCTACAAATTCATGGTCCTGATTTATTTCCCAAATATATGATGGAAGAATAAGACTATATGATGGAAAAATAAAACAATGTTACTCTTTGCTCTGATTTCATAGTTGTATTATCTTGCATCCAAGAGCCTGGTCCTTCAAGAAAATTAATATGCTTTGATCCAAGCTGAGGGCAGTGGATCAATGACAAATTGAAACTGATGGTTAAATAATGCACAAAATGTGAGCCATAAGAGGAACAGTGCAGGCAGAGAGGCAAACTAAGTGTCCTTTCTTTGCAATTACCAGATATGAAGAAGAAATTAATAAGCGTACCCAGGCAGAGAATGACTTTGTTCTCTTGAAAAAGGTAAGTGCTTCTATGTTTTTTCTATTCTTTTACAGAAGGAAACACAATATTTAGTGTGGCATAACACACCAATTATATTTCTGTATATAGTTGGCTCTTCATCTTCCTGGATTCGGCCACCATAGATTCAACTATCCACAACTAGAATTTATTTTTTAAAATTTCTGAAAGCAAGCCTTGATTTACCTTTTTATATAAGGGACATCATTTAACTATGCCATTGAATATAGTAGGACTTGAACATTCAGATATTTTTATATTTGGAACCAAAGCTCAGTGGATATCAAGGGCCCAGTGTACAGCATGGATCAACAAAGTACATTTTATACTGATTCCTTCTGTTATTTCTTGGAATATTTGCACAAAATATTGTTCTTTCCTCCTTATGTGGTGGTTTCAAGATGCAAAATGGCATTTACATTGGAATTTACAACAGAACTTTATCACACTTCAAATCCCCCAGCTGGAGAGGGTATTCTAAAAGTAGTGGTCCCTAAAAGCAGTGCTTCCAAGCTCTGATTTAGAATGGATAGAATCCTTTAAAGGGATTAAATTGATTTATCACTTTGAGCAGTTGAGTGATCTTTGCTCTGGTCTTTCTTTCAGGACGTGGATTCCGCTTACATGACTAAAGTTGAACTGCAGGCGAAATTTGATGCCTTGACAGATGAAATCAATTTCATGAGATGTGTGTATGAAGCTGTAAGTTGTGTTGCTATTTTCGGTGAACACCTAGGAGAGAACTGGGGGTGAAATGAACTTTTGTTGTATGGTGTGGTAGGCTGAAGAGATGTTTAAGCAAATTCTTTGTAAATGTGAATGAGTGGTTTGAAATCAGATAATGGCACTCCTCTGTCACAACAGTTATTTTAAAAAAATTAAACATTTTAAGAATGGCAAGGAATAATGTTAGGTATATACATGTCTATACATACACTTGACCTATTTAATCATCCACATACTGTTTTGGCAGATACAATTCCTATATCTGTGGGATTGATACCAATTGATTCATTTAACCACATCTGACAAAATATACCCTCTTTAAGCATTTTCTAGGTCCTCCAGGTGATTGTATGGTATATGCTTCTTCCATAAGTTGACCATACAGTCGTGCTCTTTGTATGTTGCAAAATGAACTCTCCCACTTGTGTACAGATGATAGCAAATGCTAACAGAAGACAGAGAAAATACAGAATTGCTTAACATGTTTTTTGCCTTAATCTACTGTGACCAGTTCTGGGCACTGCAATTCAGGAAGAATACTGACAAACTGGAAGAGTGAACAAAATGAGCAAAGGTTTTGAAACCAAGTCCCATGAGAAGCAGCTGAGGGAGCTGGGCATGTTTGGTCGGGAGAAAAGAAGGCTGAGAGGGGCCATGGGAGCCAAGTTTAGATATCTGAAAGGATGTCATATTGAGGAGGGAGCAAGCTTGTTTTCTGCTGCTCTAGACACTCGGGGTGGTTCTAGACAGCAGAAAAGTCCATGTCAACCCAGGTTTAAAAAACCTGGATCGGGACAGACTGTAGTTCACACACCAGCTCCAAAAGCCTGTGCTTTTCTCATGGGGTGTCTGGATGTCCTTCTGGGAGAATACCGAGACACCCCCCCCCCCAAAAAAAAACCTTTAAAAAGTAAAATAACTTACTGGGCCAGAATTTCTCTGCTGCCAGCCCTCTCCTGGAGTGTAACAATGACACGCCAGGAGAAAGGGGTGGTGGTGGTGGGGGGTTTGACCCGCACCTTTCAAGAAAGTGCGGATCAAACCCACTATCAAATTAATTTGCTGCAAAGCAGGGTTTTCCTGCTATGTGACAAATGAATTCATTTTTATGTGGGGTGTCATTTGGATGCCCCAGTTGAAAATGTAAGAGCTCTCACTTTTAAAGGGCTGTTTGGATGTGCCCTCAGAAAGGGAGCAGTGGACTAAAGCTGCAGGAAAAGAAATTCCACCTAAACATTAGGAAAAACTTGGTAAGAGTTGTTCAGCAGCGAAACATACTGCTTTGAAGCATGGTGGACTCTCTTTCTTTGGAGATTTTAAAGCAGAATCTGGATGGTTATCTGTCAGGAGTGCTTTGATTGTATTTACCTGCATGACATGGGATGCACTGGATGACCCTTGGGGTCTCTTCCAACTCTATGATTCCATGATTCGGTGTGTATGTGAAAGGAATGGTAGTAATTTGATGGCAATGATTGCATTTCATTTGCAGGAACTGAACCAGATGCAACAGACTGTGTCTGACACCTCTGTTGTTCTTCAAATGGACAACAACCGGAACCTGGATATGGACAGCATCATTGCTGAAGTCAAGGCAACGTTTGAAGAAATTGCCCAGAAGGGCCGGATAGAAGCAGAGTCCTGGTTCCAATCTAAGGTGAGTTGTCTCATTACCTATCCAATATTGGTAGTTAGAAACATTGCTCAGAGGGAAGCAAAACAAAGAATATTCCTAACATAGGAAGCTGCACTAAACTGAATCAGGCCTTCAACTCAGTGTTGCTTACATCAATGGGAAGTAGGCCTCTTGGGTTTCACACTAGAATCTTTCTCAACCCTACCTGAAGTTGTGGGGGGAGTGAACCTGAAACTGTCTGTATGCAAAGTCCATTCTTTACCATTGAGTGGTGACTGTTCTGGAAGATGTGATGTAGTTATGAAAAGGGCAGTAGGACTGATATAATATCACCCCTAGTCTACATTTTTAGAGGGACTGCAGAGAAAAACAGTGCAGGGTCCTGGGGAGCTTATGAGGATGAGGTTGGGGATTTCAGGAGCCACAAAGTGGAAAACAGGACTCCATGGGGCCTGTGTGCTATCCTTTTCTCAAACTTTTCCAAGGTTCCAGAGTACTTAGGAAAACATAGTAATTGCTTATCTGGGTTTTGCTACCATAGACAATCTGGACAGACATAACAAATTGCCACACTTCTTTTTTCTGAATACTAGTATGAAGAGATGCAAGCAACAGCTGGGAAACATGGAGATAGCTTACGAGACACCAAAACCGAGATCTCTGAGCATAACCGGATGATTCAGAGGATACGAGCTGAAATTGAAAATGTGAAGAAGCAGGTAAGGTGGAAGGATTGTTGCAGGATCAATCGAAGGAGTGAAATTCTCTTCTAAAACTCTTGCTTTGTTCAATTGAGTGGAGTCCAGTGATTTTTTTCCAGCAGCGTTTTTTTTACAGTTTCTTTTAAGCTGGTTGGAAACTTGCCTTTCTGTAAGGAGGCATTAACCAACACCTTCACCCACTCTGCCAAGCCCCCTCTTGGCCTCCATTACCAACCAGGATGAGCAGGGGTCTAGGATACATGTGGTTGCCCTTGCTTCTCCAAGGATCTTGTCCACATTCTCGAGTCACACCAATTGAAATGAATCCATTAAAATCGGATAAGCAGATGCTCTAGTTACAACTTCAGAGACTGCTGTTAACATGGTGTCCAGCCCTGCTGGATGGTTCTTTGCAGATGCAATGTTGGCCACAAAAAGAGATTTTTTTGTGGCATCAATTGCCATAGCATATGCTTTTAGATATGCACACAACCGTGTTTGGTCTGACTCATTGTGCTTTGAATTCCACATGCACTCTAGTTCCCTCCTCATTCGCTTCATTGCTGCTAAGTCCTCATTAAGCCAAGGAAATTGTTTAGCTCTGCTACTCAAGAGGGGAAGTTCCGGAGCAATCGTCTCTTTTGCCCCAGTCATCTCCCTATATCAGAGCATCAACAGGGACACCTGTCGAGGTGGAGGGAAATTCCCCAAGAGGTATAAGGAATCCTTCTGAATCCATAAGCCTCCTGGGGGGGACCATTTTAATAGTTCTTTCACTCCTGCAGAGGTTAGGGGGTGCAGTTAGTCTAAACTTGATTAGGTGATAGTTGGTCCATGGCAATGGAGTGATGGTCAGCTCCTTCACACTGCTACCTCTGTGGACAGGTCAAGATACTTGTTGGATAGCCCTATGGTTACCATGGTGGACATGAAGTCTTGAGCTACTCCTAACAGGGAGGTCTCCACATGGACCTTATAGTTCCGCAGCACTATAAGCCATTGGGACTCCAGCACCAGGCCTAAGACCACCCTGGCTAGCGCAGGCAGGGAGACTGTAGTGTAGAGGAGTGGCTGATACATTAGCGGAATCCCTATTCTGTCCCAGTCATCTACCCTCAGGTAGACATACTCAATTGTGGCAGACTGTGGAATCAGGTATCTGGTCAGGGAGATGGAATCCCTGTAGACCACTATGACCCTGACTCCCCCCTCCCCCCAATTCCAGATCTTGGCTGGTGCTGCACAGAGTAGCATGGCGGACAAAGCTGGGAGAGATTAACTCTCCCAGCCTCATCCAACCAGGTCTCTGTTATGCACGCCAGATCTGCACGCTCAGCCAGGATTTAATCCTGGATGATAGCTTTATTTCCATTTACAGACCTGACGTTCAACAGCACCACTCTTAAGCCAGAAGAGCTACCATCCTGGGTACTCGGTTTTACCATGTCAGGAGACCATTTTGGAACTATCAATATTCTCTCTTGTTCCCTAGGCCAAATTGGTTTTGGTCTCTCTTTCCCGTATCTCCTCCTCCCCAATATTACTCCTATGAAGGCCCCTTGATCACTGAAACTCTCCCATCCTCTGCTATGCCCTGCCCTCACTTCCTCAGCCCATGGACCCATAGTAGTTATATGGTTTAATAGCTCTTCATTGATAACTGGCCCTCTTCTCCCCTTTTTGGCTTTGGTCATTCCTTGAGAACCGCTCTCAGAATGTGTTGCTGAGGGACACCTGCTCGGCCCCACAACCATTGACTTCTGGGGTCCTGTAGGGCTCAATACTGTCCCGCATGCTGTTTAACATCTACATGAAACCACTGGGAGAGATAATCCAGAGTTTTGGAGTTTGATGTCATCTGTACACAGATGACATTCAACTCTATCACTCCTTTCCACCTGTTACTAAGAAGGCTGTTCAGGTCCTGAACAGGTGCTTGGCAGCTGTGATGGCCAGGATGAAGGTGAACAAGTTGAAATTGAATCCAGACAAGACAGAGGCACTCCTGGTCAGTCACAAGGTTGAACAGGATATAGGGTTACAGCCTGTGCTAGATGGGGTTACACTCCCCCTGAAGACTCACGTTCACAAATTGGGAGTTTTCCTGGATTCATCACTGAGCCTGGAACCACAGGTTTCAGCAGTGGCCAAGGGAGCCTTTGCACAATTAAAACTTGTGTGCCATCTGCGCCTGTACCTTGGGAAGTCAGACTTGGCCATGGTGGTCCATGCTCTGGTCCCATTGAGAATAGACTACTGCAACACACTTCATGTGGGGTTGTCTGATGACTGTTCAAAAGCTTCAAGTAGTTAAATGGGTGGCGGCCAGATTTCTCACTGGAGTTGTGTACAGGGAGCATACAACTGGCTCTACTGGCTGCCAGTCTGGTACTGAGCACAATTCCATGTGCTGGCATTAGTCTATAGAGCCTTAAATGGTTCTGACCCAGCTTGCCTGTCTGAAGGTATCTCCCTCTATGAGCCAGCTAGGAGGTTAAGATGGTCTGGGAGGCCCTGCTCTCAGTCCCACCCCCTTCGCAAGTGTGACTGTTGGGGATGAGAGACAGGGCCTTCTCAGTGGTGGCCCCTTGGCTATGGAACTCCCTTCCTAATGAGGTCAGATCAGCTCCCTCACTCCTGACTTTCAGAAAAAGGCTAAAGACGTGGATATGAGATCAAGCATTCAGTTAGTAACCTACTAAAGAATTATGGAATAGTGCAATGACAATTTTGGAACTGCCATGGACTATGATTTTGGATAATGTGATTTTAACAAGTGTTTTAAAGGTTTGATATGTTTTTCATGATTGTTTTAACATATATGTTATTTTTATATATGTATGTTTTATATGGCATGAAATTGTTGCCTATATATGTAAGCCGCCTTAAGTCACCTAAGGGGTTGAGAAAGGCAGGGTATAAATAAGGTAAATAAAATAGATACATAATTTTTTCCTGTGAGTAAAACTTTATCTGATTAGACCTCTCCTTCAACTGCAGTGATAAGATCAAAATGCAACTAAAATGTATTGGACATAGCAGATAAAATCTGGATACTCAAGTGCATGCAGAAGTTACTATTTTGGATCATATTTTCCCAAATCTCCCAGTCTTCCATGGCTGAAGGATTTAGGGAGTTGTGCTCAAAACATGTTTTTTTTTAAAAAAAAAACTCTGAAAAACTTTCTGCTGGTTAAATGTAAAGCTGCTGGTGAAAGGTCATGATAATGTAATAGTGCTGGTCATTAGGAGATATCCTGACCAAAAGCATATTTCTTGAGACTCAGAAAAGCCTGATGAAGAAATTCCTGAATTAGTGTGAATCTCTGCGGTTCAGGAGTTATTTTCTGCACAAGTAAATATTTTTCATAGAAAAAAATCTTTTTTTGCAAGGAAATAACATTTTCTGTAAAAAAAATATTTTTGCACAGATTTTTTTTTCTTGCTGAAAATCCTGTTTTGTGTGCAAACTGTACTGATTTTATGCAGGCTATATCACTGTCTGGACCATTCTGTGTGCAGAAAAAATATTTCTGCACAGTATTATTTTTTGCACAGCAAATGCTGGGGTTTTTATTTTACAGAATATGATTTACATTGTAAACAGTTGTTAAAGCCTGTTGATAAAATAATTACATTACTAGATACGGATAATAAGGAATATTCCACATACCTCATATGTTTTGTGATAAAAGATTTTGCAGCAAATTTTCAATTAATGATATTAATGCACTTCATTTGTGAAGTGTGCCTCCTGTGGAATTGTGGGCTTTATAGTTTAATGAGAGCTCTTTGGCTCAGACTTCTGAATGCCCCCTTTTAAACTGCAAATCACAATATCCCATAGGAGGCAGTCATAGTAAAGTAGAATAATACTGCTATAAACACAAAAAAGACAGTGGTGGTGGTGTATATGAGGATATCATTTACTCGTGTCTCTCTTGCCTTTCAGTGTGAGAAGCTGAAGTCTAATATCGCAGAAGCCGAGGAACGGGGTGAGCTGGCACTCAAGGATGCCAGAAACAAGCTGACTGAACTGGAAGAGGCTCTGCAGAAGGCCAAGGAAGAAATGACCCGTCTCCTGAAGGAGTATCACGAGTTGATGAGTTGCAAGTTGGCCCTGGATGTAGAAATTGCCACCTACAGGAAATTGCTGGAAGGAGAGGAGAGCAGGTGGGTGACATGAAAAAAGATGAAGAGAATGTCCTGATTTTTCTGAACAGTGACAGAAGGGGGATGTCTACTCATTACACAAGTCAATATCCAAACCCCCTCTCCTGTCCTACCAAACTGTTGTGAAAGGTTTTGATTTAGTCTGTCAGTTAAATGTTAAGATTAATAACATGGAGTCTGTAATCATAACCATAGAAAATTCATTTAAAACCAACTTTGCAAGATTTTGTGGAGGCTTTCCACCTCATGCATTGTGGTGTCTTGGAGTTTAGTGGTGTTTATAGCAAGTTAGTTTAGACATATTATACCTATGTAAACTGTAAGGATCAGAAAAATTGGAACAGTGCCTAATATTCCTAAAACTGGCACCACTGGAGCCTGGCTAAAGAACACAAGCTCCCAAGGAACTTCTTGGTCAAAGAAAAAGCTTAAACCTGACTTCCCTGCATTCATTGATATTCCCTTTCTCCACCCTATAGCTGTGGTAGCAGCAAAGTCTAACCATGTAAACAAAATGATTTCAAGGGATTAGTTTGTATTGACTGGAATATTGTAAGGCTTTGCTATGTCAAAACCTATTTGGATCTAATCCATCCCTAAATCCCCCTTTCTTTCTTTCCCAGGCTATCTGGAGACTGCCAAAGTACTGTGAACATCTGTAAGTAACAACTCCTTTCCCTTTCTAATTGAGTAGTACCTACTTTTGAGTAACTGATCTGGCAATTTACAGTGCCAAACTGCTATGTCAATGCAAGCAGCAAAGTTGATTTTCTTTCTACTCCATTTCCAGAAATGAGTGGTTTGGTGCATGGCTACTACAAACTGAGTGTCTTGTAGCAATATGTCTTAAGTTGCTAAGTATGGTAAAAAATGGGCACAAAAGGAATATCGCAGAGGCAGAAGCTGGCTTAAGGGCCATACCCAGAGAAAGATTTCCTCATGCATCAACTTTAGATTACCACAAAGTCAGTTGTCTTGATGCAACTTTGTTGTGCATCCTACTAACATGTACAGAGAGCAAGTCTTATTAAAAGTAGCTTTATATGTTACAAAAAAGACTATAGGGAAGCCGATGCAAGCAAATTTTGCAAGTAAAGTCCTGGCTGGCATCCATTACTCATGGAGCAGTTGACATTAGCAGCTTGCCCAAAGCAACCTAGTTGAACTTCCTGATTGAACAAGGTTCTTATTTCAAGTCCTGCTCTTAAACTACAATGTTATGTTTAGTCTCTGTTGAACCTTACCACACTAATAATTCTTATTCCTTTGAGGATGCAGCACATGATTGAAATCTGTCACTTTGAGTGATGATTTGCTATGGCGTGGATGTTCCTCAGTATGAAATAAGAAAACAAAAACATGGTGATTGCAATATTGATGAAAAGATCAATTTAGATAAGTAGTAAATAGGGAAAAGGATTGATTCAATAACGAAGAAGTGTGTGAGTGAGAGAGATTGTAGCTGCTCTGGTTTTATGATGGATTTTACTGGAAAGCCACAACTTCTCCCTCTTTCCCTGCTTATTTATCTCTTTACTTGTAATCAATTTTATGCCACTCATTCTATTTAAAGATATCCCATATTGGTGATATTTAAATTTGAAATAACACAGACCCAATGAATATTACAGAATATAAACAGTGCATTTATGGGAATTTCCTGTGCTTACCAGGGCTCGCTATTCCAAAGAAGTACTGGGTGGTGGTGGTGGTGGGGAGTTTTTAGTGAACTTGTAGGTTGCCAAGCCGAGTCTAAAATATGAGGTGTAACACTGAAATACATCTTATCTGTTTATTTTTCTTGTTTTTTTATTTTCTTTCCTGCAATATAAAAATGTGTTTTACAGCCAGTCTAAGCAGCAGCTTGGCTGCCCCTCTGGTGTGTTTTAGGTGCATAATGCCATGAGATATACCTGATTCAGAATGTAACCATGTGGGTATATCCTATGAAATCCTGGGATTGGAGTTTAGGAAGGGATGTTTAGAATTATCTGAACTACAATAAAAGAGCTCTCTACCTCAAGTTACAAATTCCAGAATTCTGTTGGATGGTGGCCATGGCAATGAAATTGATATTGAACAATTCCTCGTTGTATAGATACCCTCATATGTTGGAGGACAAGGGAATGGCTCCTGTCACTGTTGCTTAGCACTGATAAGACTGAGTTCAAGGAATTATCTGTTGGTACCAAATGACAATAAACATGTAACCACCTTGAATATTTTCTTTTCCAGCTGTGCTCGGTGCTACCTCACACATCTCTGGTGGTGGCTATGGTGGTGGCTATGGTGGTGGCTATGGAGGAGGAATGTCCTTTGGAAGTGGTTCTGGTGGCCTTGGTGGTTTCAGCAGCATTGGTGGTGGTGGTGGAGGAGGACATGGTTCTGGGAGTACCATCGTGAAGAAAACCACTACGTCATCCACCATCAGGTCTACATCTACATCTAGGAAACAATAAGCAAGCGAGGCAACAGTAACATAACCCAGAATGAAACATTCTTCTGAAGATCTCCATCAAGCTGCATTGAACTGAACCTCTTGGAGGAATGAACTGTGTCTATTTTATAACCACTATTTCTCTTCTCCCTGAATATGTTTAGGTATTGCATTGTGTTTCCTTAACACTTTTCGTGCCCCCTTATATAGATCAGGCACTAGTAAAATATAAATAGACACCACCCCTACCATGGCTGTAAGTTCATAACCAAAGGCAATCAGCATTTGATAGATCTACTTGTTCAGGAAAGCATATTGCTCTACTACTGTGCTTTGTATGGGAATTTCCTGTGCTTACCAGGGCTCCTTCTTTGTCTGAAGGAGTCCAGTTCCCATATTGCCCTAGGTATACTCCAGAACTTATTGGCTCTAATTTCACATAAATAATGGATCCTCTTTATGACAAACTGAAAGATCTGGATTAGACTTTGCTCTGGTTAAGAAGGATTCTCAAGAAGAAGCAATTCCCGAAGTTAGGTTGGTTAATTGTTATAATATGGGAAACATGGTTTGTATTATTGTTCTTTGCAGGTTGTAATCTCTCTGCATGTCAGTACAAAAAAGCCATGGTTCACTTGGACATGGTCCTAATGTTTTGCCTTTTCATAAAATAGAAATCATATCTGATATTATTTTGTGATTGCCTGTCTGAGGTTCTGCTGATTAATAATTGTTTTCAATGGAATATGGAGAATATCAGCAGCTTGGGGTGCACCATCTGGTCAAAATTAACATCTTGTAATTTCTACTGATTTCAACAAAGAGGTTTAAACACTTGTTTCAGCTATTTTTGTTAAAAAACAATGCAACTTAGTTAACATTGACTGAATTGTACTTCATGTTCTCTCTCTCTCTCTCTCTCTCTCTCTCTCTCCCCCTCTCACTCTCTTGCACGCTTTCTGTTTTTGTAATAGCTTGCAAATCTTTGCATCTCATTAAAGTTTGAAACGCAGAGACAATTGGTGATTTTGGTTTTTTTTTGCTAAGAATTTTATTAATAAATTTTATTTATATTCTGCCCTATCTCCCTGAAAGAACGCAGGGCAGATACCAAACATAAAATTCAATACTTGAACATAACAGCAAAAGACCCATAATAATGAAAATTAACAGCCCAACATACAAAAGTAAATTATAACTTAACAACAAAAAATAGATAAAAAACACAACCTATTACATCAGACATGAAACAAAATATCAATCTCAAACATCAAACAGAAGCATCAATTTCCCAAGATGTCTATTGAGCTAGTGGGGCGAACAGGGCATGGATATGGATGGCATCTATTAATTAGAGGTGTAGTATTACCATCTATTCCTCCTCCTCCTTGTACACCAGTGAGCAAAGGTACATCTTCAGTTGTTTCTCAAAGGCGGGGAGGGAGGGGCCATCTTTAATTCCTTAGGAAAGGATTTCCAGAGGTGGGGGGCAGCCATAGAAAAGGCCCTTTCTCGTTCCCACCAGCCGCACTTGGGATGGGTTGGACTGAGAACAGGGCCTCCTCTGATGACCACAGTGTCCGGGTTGGTTTATAGTGGGAGATGTGGTTCGTCATATAGTCTGGTCCTGAGCCATTTAAGGCTTTAAAGGTAATGACCTGCACTTTGTATTTAGCCTGGAAGCATACTGGCAGCCAGTGGAGCTGCTGCAGCATGGGAGTGGTTCTCTCCCTCCAGGTGAGGACTGACCAAAGTTAGCAATCTGGCAGCTGATCTTTGGACCAGTTGAAGCTTCCAAACTATCTTTAAAGACAGCCCCAAGTAGAGAGCACTGCAGTAGTCCAAACTAAGACATGGAGTACCATGGCCAGATCTGGCATGTCAAAGTACAGGTGCAGCTGGCACACAAGTTTTAACTGTGCAAAGGCACTTCTAGCCACCACCAACACCTGGGGTTCCAGGTTCAGTGATGAATCCAGGATCACACCCAGACTGTGAACTTGTGTCTTCAGGGAGGTGTGACCCCATCCAATACAGGCTGTAATCCCATACCCTGACCCTTCTTCCGAAGGATCAGGAGTACCTCTGTCTTGTCTGGATTTAGTTTCAGATTGTTAGCCCTCATCCAGTCCATATTACTATGACAATAATGCTGCAAAACTGTACTGTTTTATTTCTATTTTATGAGGAGACCTAGTGGATGTAGTTGGGGGTATCAGCAGAGATACTACATGAAAGTTTATTGTTCTAATCTTTTCTTCCAGCTTTGTCCTGGGATGAGCACAAGTTATGCAGAACACACAGATCTTGTTTATACTGGGCAACAAAATTGAATCAGTGTAAATTCACTGCCATCTGTCTCCATGAACCACACTGATTTATGATGAGTATTCCAGATTTTCTGGGTCTAATCTGATTTTGTCCCACTTTGGATGAAGTTGCAGGTTACGTCTGTATTTTCTGAAAAATCCAATGTATCGTGGAACTTCATGGCAGTCTGAACAGCTGAATCAGGGCCATTTTGACATGTTTCCCTCCCTAGGTAGACACCACCACCACCTCCATGTTACTACCTCTGCCAATCCCCACTGGCTGCAGAGCTCTGTCCAAGCACCTGACCATTGTGGTCATGTTTTCTGATGTCAGAATGGGCATGCCTGTGGTCAGCAAGAAGGAGGGGGTCAATCTACCAATGTTCTTCTAATTATGTGGATGCCCTATTCTGTCGGAAGATGTGACATCTAGGTGGTCAGATGGAACTCCGTAGTTCATGGAGAGGGGTGGCAGTGACATGGAACATGATAAGATGAGAGCCCAGCGGGGTCAATGCGATCCCATATGTTTGGACACTGGCTCCAGATCTAGCATATCCAGGGATGTTCTGGATCTACTTTATGCCAGAGTAAACTGCCTAGTGCAGACTCAGCCACAATCAATCTAAAATTGAAAACTGTGGGTTTTTTTAAAATGTGTTTGTGTGAGAGAGGTTTTTTTTTTACACAATTAAGCCATCTCTGTACAGAAAATAATATTTCTAATGCAATGTTGAGGACACAAACACTCTCTCACACACACAAAACACATGCAAATTTTGCACTAAGTCCTGAACTGTATTTTCTGTACAGGAATCATCATTTTCTACTTTTGAAATAATAGTTCTGCACAGAGTATATTGTTTTCTGCACAGAAAATTAGTTGCAAATCTTGCAATGAATTCCTAATGCTCCAGAAACCTTCTATCCCTAGTGGCTATTAATTTTTGTACTGACTGGATTGTTGCTGTTATCTCACAAAGGCTACAAAAGTAGATATAGAAGCCTGGTTCATACCACAGCTTTAGTTATATCCCACAGAATGCTGGGAATTATTGTTTGTTGAAGTGCTTAAAAATCCCCAAACTTCAGTACTGCGGTATTGTAATAAGGAGTTCCAAAACTACAGTTCCCAGGATTCCAGAGGACGGAGCAGCTGATGGCATCAAAGTACTTTCACTGTTTGCAGAGTTGACTAATATGTTCTCTCTAGGAATCTCTTCATTCTCCATCATGACTCTATAATAAACATCTGCTGGAAATTCACTGGAGGACCAAGAAATTCCTAGAGAAAATACTCCTTTAGACATTCCTTGGGTCTACAATTCAATTCTTTGGTCAATTTCTAATCTGGTAGTGCCAGATAACCTAGAGATTTCTAGATAAATGTTCTCTCAAGTTAAAGGGCTTTTTAAACATTTCCCCCACTCCACCCCCATGACACTAATGCCAGTGAATGCGGAAGGCTGGTCTTAATGTGAATACACTTGGGTGGGTGGCTAGGGCATCTAATAAGCTTCAGCTGCTTTCAGGTCAACACCCTGTGGCCTGATACTGTGATCTTTTGCAGCCCTTTCCACCAATCCCATCAGGATCTTTAAAAGCCAATAGAATTCTAGATTGTATCAATAGGAGTATAGTGTTGAGATGGATGGAAGTCATATTTTCACTCTAGGGTGCTTTGGTCAGTCCTTACCTGGAGGACTGTGTCCAGTTCTGGGTACCACAATTGAAGAAGGCTATAGAAAAGCTAGAATGTGTCCAAAGAAGGGGAATCAAAATTGGAAACAGAGACCTACAAGGAACGACTGGATATGCTTCTCTTGGAGAAAAGAAGTCTGAGAGGGGACCTAATAGCCATGTTTAAATATATGAATGGATGCCATATTGAGAAAGGGGCAAATTTGTTTTCTGCTGCTCTGGAGACTAGAGTATAGAACAATGGATTCAAATTGCAGGAATAAGATTCTACCTAAATATTAGAGATAATTTACTGATGGTAAATGCTGTTCAGCAGTGGAATATGCTGCCCTAGAGTGTGGTGGAATCTGACCATTCTAAGTTAGGGTTACTACATACCATTAAGATAAGAGTAATGATAGCAAGGTTGAGAGAAGTTTACCCTCGGGGCAGCAACTTTTTCAGAAGAGATGCAATATATATCCCTATTGACAGGAGGGCCCTCATGTTATAGGATTTCAAATTGAATGAGCCTTAGGACCTCTTCACATGAGGAGTTTTTGCCCCATTTTGCCACTTTTATTTGCGGTAAGGACGGGGCTTGCTATGTGTCATCACACAGTGCACAGCAGGCCCTACCCACATTCCTACCAAAGTGGAGGGAAAGCATCGAGATACACTTTCTCCACAATTACAGGGAGGAAAGTGTAGTTTGGGTAGTTCTGATGGATTCTGGGTACCACAATTCACTTTCCTCACTTTTTTGACATATGGCAGAAAGGGCAGCGGCACAATACGCATTGCCATGTGTTGCCGCTCTTTCTGCCATCTGATGGAGACAAGGACAAGGTCCCCATCGTGTGATGGAGGAAGGAGGGAGGGTGCACTGAGCATCATGAGCTACCCTGCACAGCTTCCCTTTTGTGGTGCAATGGCACAGACCGAAAAGGCCATATGAAGAGGTCCATAGTCAGCATGGGCAATGATGAGGGATGGTAGAAGTTGTGGGCAGCCAGCATTTAAAAGTCTCCCATCTCTGATGTAGCAACTGGGGTTGCAACGGTGTGAAAAATAGATGGGAACTGAGTGTATCTGAATACACAGTAAGCAAGGCCTTCCCCGATCCCCGATGTGAGATGATGACACTGCTACCTTCCTACATATTCACCTTCTGCTGAGACTGCTTAAAATGAGGGTTAATCATTTGCTTACTTTTGTAACCTGATGCTAGCAGGTGTTTAACCACCCACAAGGAGCAATTCAAAACATGTTGCTTTATTTATCCCTCTGCATCAGTTTTGAAAACCTGGGTTTCAATTCTAGTTACTGTAGCTAAAGGATCAAATCCATCTAGAGAATTTAGTGTAGGGAGGGGCACACCAGCCATTCTTTCTCAGAGAGATTTGGGAATGATTCATTTTTGACATTGGTCTGTTTCCATGAGGGCCCCTTTCACCCTACACAATCATCGGGATTTGAGTCCATTTTAACCTCCATGGATACCTCCTGTGGAACCCTGGGTTTTGTAGTCTGATCAGAGGCACCAGAGGAGCTCCCAGGCTGAGATTTATAAGTGCCCCACCCTCCACTGCCAATTCTATACGGTGGAACCATAGCAATCAAAGTAGTGTTATAACTGTGTGGTGTAAAAGAGCCCCAAGTCTAGTTTGATTGACTTAAGAGGTTGGTTTTCATTAGTGAAAGCTCTGGACACTGGCAAATATAAGTTGGATGAGACATGTGAAAAGCTAATTATCACATTGAGGAATTTATTAAATAAATATTGCTGCCAAACACTTGTCTCCTATCCTGGCCCGTGTTGTTCGCTTGTGTGTCTATAAAGTTGCAGAATCTACTAAGAAAGAGTACTTCCTTTTTTACCTTCTTGGGTTTAATTCCATGTGAAGAATACATTTTAAGCTCAAAATCATAGCATCTCCCTGGCACTGAATGCAATTGCCAAGGCTCAAAGGACAGCGCAAAGACCTGATAAATGCTATACAACCTCCTCCCCCCT